CCCGATCTCTGCCTCTCAGAAGCGTGCCAGTGTTTTCCTGCCTCACCCCCCACTCCCTTCCTCCACCTTCCTCCCCCTTCCTCCTCGCCCGCCCCCTCCCGGAGCGCGTGCGTGCCGGGTGGCGTTTGAACCTCTGAGTTTGTTGCCACCTCTGTGGGAGCGGCGAGGCCCTGTCGCCAGGGGCGTAGCCCTGAGACTGACACTCCAGGTGTTTGCTCTTCCTCGCCTCCTCGCAGTATACACACTCATCCCTCAGGATCCACCCCGCTCCCCCTCTCCTTTAGAAGACATCTCCTTTCATCTGAGCGGGAAGCTTGCTGAGATTGTATGAAGAATATGCTCTGAATACACCCCTTTAAGTGTGTGTGAGTGTGTGTGTGTGTCAATTTGAGTGTGTGTGTGAGTGTGTATGTGAGTGAGTGTGAGTGAGTGCGGCCTACGGCGTGTCTGATGAGCCCGTGCGCGTCCATGCGCGTGCGTCGGCGGAAACGTTACGACGACAGCGCTCGCTAGCGGTGACCGGCGGTACTGCAGGGGGGGGGGACACAAGCCTCTTGTTTTGCACATAAAGGCAGAAAAGCCTCCCGTATTTACCGAAGACGCGCCCCTTAGGGCGGAGAGGTTCTCCAAACACACAACACGCCGGCCTCAGTCATTCAGTCAGCCTGATGAATAGCATCCTCTCTCCGTGTGTGGATGGAGAAAGGAGCCCTGCAGGCTCGGCAGGACTGGCCCCTGCTGTAATTGTGCTGCCCAGTGCCCACAGCCAGGAGGAGAGCGGCGCGCAGCGGCCTCGGTGCGTCTGAGGCAGGAAAAACGCGTATAAAAAGCCGCCTGGAAAATGAAAGCTCTCTGGGCGGGAGCAGATTATGCACAAGTGATTAATAAGAGCAGTAATAAACAAAGGCCCAGGAGATGTTTGAGGTGCTTAATAATGCATTATGTTCATAAAAGAGCCGGGCCTTTTCCAACCGATCCCCGTGGAGAAGGGGGGCCCCCAGAGGGACCGGGAGAGAGGAGCGCGCTCCCTAAAAGACTGCGCGTGCAGGAATGCGCGCGTGTGCGTCCGAGAGCAGGCGAGGCGCTGGAAGACACGGGATAAAAAAGGCAGCAGTCAGATGGATTAAATGATGTTAATTCATTGCGATTCGCCTCACACGTTTAGCAGATATGAATGGAGAGATATTCGGATTGTTTCCTGCGAAGTTTGGTTTTGGATGTTTTTTTTTGCACGGGTGTTAATTTTAAACGCCGCCTGGCTCCGCTCTTTGTTCCTAGGCTCCCAGCTCCCTTTCTTTATTCTTTTTTTTTAGTTTTTTCCCCCTGTTCTGTGCTTTTAAAATGCCTGCGTATTGATGTCATTCCATCTTCGTCCTTCATTCAGTCACAGAAAAGAAACCTGGAACAGCAACAGAAAAGCACAGGTGAAAAAGTCCCCCTCTCTCTCTTCTTTGTTTTGTTTGTGCACAAAAGCGGCAGCTCTTCTCCCCCCCAATCACACTTTCTGATCCCAACCTGCTTTTTATTGGAGTGTTTTTCTCACTCTTTGCAGAGCATCAAGGTAAAGCGGGGCTCCGCTTTTGTCGTCTGAATATCAAACCTCTGATGGTTTGAAATGTGCCCCCAAACAGGAAGGTTTCTGAATTTGTTCCATGTATTTTTATTTTTATTTTTTTGGTGTTTCTTTTAATCAAAATCCAGCTTCTCTGACGGGCCAAATAAAAGATGGAGGAGTCTCTTTGATAAGCATCTTCCCCTCCCTCGCCGTTGTGTGTGGAGGTGAAAGTTAAAGTGTTAAAGTGTCCGACCCGGTTGGGTCCATGACAGCAGCATTACAGCAGAGTTACTGTTTGTTGCAGCACTAACATCAGAGCCTGTTTACGGACCTTGAAGTCCACTCGGAGGAGAGAAAAAGGAGAATAAATAAAAAAAACAAAAAAACAAGAGTGTTTTGAATGAAGAGAAAAAACCTTGGAGCACAGCCTTGTAAATTAATTTGTTCGTGTTGTATGATGGGAACACAGCTGGCCTCATTAACATGCACACAACAAATAATTATAGTGTTTTTTTTTTCTCCCTCTCTGTCTCCCTTCAGCCAGCCAGTGCTCGGCTAATGGGCTTGCTGGGTTAATTATGTCAGAGCGTAATTACACAGGGCCCAGGGAGACATAATGGTGCACCCTGCTGCGCCCACACCGCCTAATGATGGTGTATCGCTGACAGGGCCAAGACGGACCGCCCTGACACACCTGCTTGTCTTGGCGCACAACAGCCTCATGCACACCCCACCCACTTTGACACACATCCTGAATCTGTGCACCCCCCCAACACCCCCCCGTCTGGGCAGTCCAAGCTCCCGACCGGCTCTGGCTCCTCAGGTTCACCCCCCCACGCTTTGCCATGTGCAACAGCACACAGAAAGCAACACAACCCCCACAGTTCTCAGCCCGAGTGACGAAACACCACATCGGTGCAGGACTCCGGCAAAACTTTCCAGTTTAGAGTTCCCGCGTGTGAAAATGAAGCTGTTGTTTGTGTAGTTTCGGGGCTATCTTGATGACATTAAGGCCAATTCAAGTTTAAGTATGACTTTTTTGTTCATTTGTGACAGTCTAAGAAGCAGAAATCTGATCAAACCCAGGCCACTTTCACATGAGATCTCCCAGATCTCCAAGATATGAGATGCATATCTGGGAGTTTTTAAAAGATTTTTTACATCCGACTTCTGCGCCACAGAAGTGATGACCGAGGTCACAGAGGAGGCAGGACATGAATAGCATTCATCATACATGATACAAAAGAAGGGATCAGATCACAGCATTCAAATCTGTATTATGAGTGTAGCTTTAATCAGAATTAAGAACAAGTGTTAAAACTCTATCGACTTTCCTTAAGATTAAAATTGATTTATTTTAGAAATGTAAAAAGATTGATAAAAATCTACATGATCATAAATACAAATTATCATACCCCATCAGTGAAAATCCTGTTGTAGACGCTGTATATTCTATTTAGGCTTTAGGATTTCCATTTAAATTAATAAAACTGCCCTGCAAGTACTTTTTCTTTTGCTTCACATAGATGTATTTTATTGTTTTCTATGTTTCGTTTCCAAGCCCTCCTTCATTCGATGGTATAACTGAAAAGAGAAAGAGAGGCAAGAAAAACAGGAACTCAAACATGTTGTAGTCTTCGATAATTTGATGAATAAAACCCCAGATGGAAAACAACATACTGGCTTTTGTTAGTAAATGTTAGTAAAAGTTATTCAAATGAATCTTAGAGTCTGCATCAGTCTCAGATCTGACTCTGAACACTTTGGGATCTAGAGGAGGCCCTGGTGGACTTTAAGGATCCTGATGCCGCAGAAGCAGCCCAGATCATCATCGCTCCACCACCGTGCCGACAGCTGTTTGCTTTCTGTGCATTCTGAGGAAACATCTCCACTTATCTCTGCTTTGTTCAGATTCTGAGCCGTGCCGCCATGTTCTTTTTCCAGAGAACAGGCTTTGTGGTCTCCGACAGCGCTGCCGTTCACATATTTTCAGCTCATTGTCTCTCCGTTTCGTGACTCGCTAGACATTACATTAAAGACATGCAGAGAGAATGAAGCTAATTGTTGGTTGTGAAAGGGTTAACCTGCTAGCTGAGGCCCTAAGATTCTGAGATGTAGCTCTGGGGTTTTTGATCGTTGGGTGATCTTGCTGGGACGCCCACTCCTGAGAATATTGACAGCTGTCCTGCATGTTTTCCACTTTTTGTGAGCCCTCTTTCTCTCTGTAGAATGACGTACTCCAAATATTTGGAAGTGGCCTCATAACCCTTCACTTTGACGGGCAGCAGCAGTTGCTGATGTCTTCCCTCCTTGGCGTTGTTTCGGCACACATTTGAAGGCCACAGCGCAGCGAACTGAGCCGACTCCTGCTGCTCAAACTCACTAATCTCAGTTGATTAAGTGCATAAGATCAGCAGCACCTTGGCTTCCTTCCCTCTTAATTCCCGTGGAAGCTGCTTGAATGGACTCAGTTTTTCAGGATATGTTCACCAGTGATTGTTTGCTCTCTGTGGGGCAAACAGTGAAACGTTTACAGGACAGTAAGCGTGTTTGATTCTGAATAATGTTCTAAACTATTTTTCAATCTGTGTTGTGACTCGTAAATCTTCGGAAATGAGACTTCCAAGCCTCTGTGTTTGCAGGACGGGCTGCGATTCCTGCAGACCCGGACGCGCGCTAAATGTCCTGCGATTTATTAGCGCCAAAGAGCCGCCGCCGCCAATCGCTTACCGTGACCTCGGAGCTGACACCCACTCATCGCTAATTAAGATAAGGGATGAATTTAAAAATGTGCTCGCAGGCCAGTGCAGCGCTCCGTTACCTGCTCGGTGTGAACGGGAGCCTTAATGTGGCTGCCGGGTTGAATTCGGCGGATTTATTGTCGGATCTGCTGCTTTCAGGAGCGGCCGCTCCTCTTCTTATTAGCTACATTAATTAGTAGCTGTATTTCCTGAAGTTTCCTGGACTCTCCTTCAGTAACTGTAGATCCCGAGCCCTCGGAGGATATCCCAGCTTCTCCACTTTGATGGGGGTTAATTTTGTATACGGACTTAAGTTATATCCCTTCACTTTAAATTTGACTTTACTTAACTCCCCTGCCGTTGATTGATAATCCTGCCTTGTCCATGTGTGAGAGATCCCTTACTATAATCTCTGTCCTTTGATCATTAAAAGTTGAAAGGATATATGGGAAAAGGGGCTGATAAAGTGATTTCTGTGACAGAGGGTCGATGCAGTAGCAGTGCTTTAAGTCATCCTGTTTGTCTTAGAAGAGCCTTGCTCTTAATAGTGAAGTCCCTTGTGGCTGATGCAATAGCTCCACAGTTGGTGTAACAATGAATGCAGACAATGTTTGACTGTAAACGGTCCTGGGAAAAAATAGTTCAATCAATTAACTGACCCAAAATGTTTTTGTCTGATGAAAATGCAGATATGGCGAGCTGCAATGTCTCCCCAGGATTTCAACAAATTGCGCGTCGCAGAAGTTTTGCCCCCCCCCCCCAACCCCAACCCCTTCGATGATGACGAGCGTTTGTTTTCCTGGCCTGCCAGCTCGGAGTTTGCCTTCCCTCGTTGGGAAAGTTTAAACGTCTGTGGCTCCAACTTCTTATGAAAAGTCACTTCAGTCGGTGCCCGCACTGAAGATCCAATTGGGTTCCGCACAGAAGCGTAAGATGAGTGGATGAAAGCTGTGGGAGAAAAGTTTGTGCAGCAAAGCAGCGATTTTCCTCCTCTTTTAGAGTTTTGAAGGGCTGCAGTGTGTGTGTGTGTGTGTGTGTGTGTGTGTGTGTGTGTGTGTGTGTGGGTGCGCGCGCTGGCTCCACATCTTGCCTCCCTCCTTGTCAAGGAGCTCCCCTGAGCTTCCCTCTCTGTGCTTTGGCACTAGAAGTCACCTCCTTTGGTGTTCGGCAGGCAGGTACACAACAGGAGCTGCTCTCTCTCTCAGAGCTGTTGAACTTTTCGGGAGGGGAAGAAAGCGAAGGGGAAGATTAAAAACAGCCCTGTGATGTGGAGTGCCGAGCTGCCTCCTGAGAATTCCTGGCATAATAATTTAAATGATCAAATGATACAGAGGAGACTTGTTAGCTGAGAAACAGCCTCCTAGTTGGCCCCATGGGCCCGGCGCTGCCACGCATGCATTGCAAAACAGCTCCTCTGTTGTGCTAAAGAATCCGGCTTTTTTTATTTTTTCAGCCCCCCTTTTCAGGAGCAGACTTTTTCCACACTTTGCCTAGGTGCATATTCGGCTCTTAAGTCTCTGTCACATATTTATCGTAGTCTTTTTGTCCTCTTTGCCGCTAATCAGCGTGGCAGGAGACTCATTAGGGTTAGATTTTTGTGCACGTGAAGGGGTCCAGGCAGCGCTGGTGTCATTAGGTCCGGCCTGTGAGACGTTCAAAGGCGAGGGGGACTGAGGAAAAGTCTTCACAGTCACCCTTTTCAAACAAGTCTCCCGGGAATAGTTTGCCAGAGCTGGAACTGTGATGCCGAAAACTCAGTGATGTGCTTTACAGGCAGCGCGTGCGGCAAAAAGCAGCTATTTTGCTTTTCTTTTTTTTTTTCTAAAAGAAAGAATGTGCACAGATTTGTTTGTGCTTGTTTTTTTGTGTTTTTTTTTTTTTTTACACCTCACAGATCCGGCTCCCGTGCTGGAGGCGTCGCACTCCCTGGGGGAAAGGCTGCAGCAGCTTCAGGCCTCGGCCCCCAACGGCGAGGCCCTGGTGCGGGAGATCAGCGGCGTCTGGAGGAGGCAGCTGGAGGGCCTCGACAAGACGGGTCAGGCCCACGTCCTCCGTCCAGCGTTACCGGGACGTCCGCCAGGTCTGGAGTCAAACTAACCCGCTTCCTTCGCCCCCTTCAGAGCCCGCCGAGGATGGCCCGGCAGAAGCAGGCGTGGCAGAAGAGGCCTCACAGTCCCCGGATTCCCCCATGACCCCCAACAGCAGCCCACAGGAGAACCACCAGGACCCAGCCCAGGACCCAGGGTGAGAACCGGATCCTGACGGGCCCCGAATATCATCACAATAACCGTGCACGAAGAGTTTGGGTCTCTGCTTTCTGACTGTTCCCCACATAAGCCGCTTTATTTACTCCCAAAGTGTCTCCAGTGAGCCCATAAAACACAACGCGCCGCTTTTGTCTCTGACTTGGTGGGAGGAGGCTGACACCGACATGATTTTTTTTTTCTCCCCCCCATCTCTGGGCCTTTGTTGTAGCTTTAAATGTGCTGTAGTGAAGGAGCTGACAGAGTTTGTTCTCGCAGGAGGGAGGCGGAGGAAGAGGAGGAGGAGGAGGAGGGCGCTGATGTTGGTTTGGCTGACAGTCTATCAGAGGCCGAGGAGAAGATCAAAGTTCTGCACTCGTGTAAGCGGTTCAAACACACACGTGCGCCGTAGCTGTTAAATCTCATTTTGACCCGTTAAACAGCCACTTCTTTTATAATTGCGGCCACCGCTGCCCCACCGGGGCTCCGCTTTAAGAAATAAAAGCTAAAAGTGGAGCTTTTCTGTCCCTTCTGAGCTCCAGATGAAGGTGTCTGTCTGTCTGTATGCGTGCAGGTTTCGCCCGGCCCCTTTGATACCTCACGATGCATCTGTAAGGTCAGAGTTCAATCAGTTTTTCTAAGTTAAAATCTCACCTCTGGTTTGCCTCCCACCAGCTTTGAGCACCGCACAGACTGAGCTGCTGGACCTGCGGTGTAAATACAACCAGGAGATGGCAAACAAGTAAGAGTCCCACTCAGATCGCGCTTCTTCATCCTCCCATTCCCCCTGCAGCCACGACGGTTTGAGTGTTTCTCCTCTTATTTAGCCTGCATAAAGTCGCGTCCAGAGCAGGGCTGAGGTATGCCATTGTAAAGGCAGGGAGCGAGAGTGACTCAGCTGCTAATGCAGGTCGATGAGAGAGGTCTGTGTTTGCCTTCACTGGCAGCTGGGCCCTGACAGCCCTCAAGAAGAATTGCTCCATTTAAAGATTGCTTCAGAAAACACTCTACCTTGTCTTGGTCTTTGAGCGCAAAGTATCCACCGCACGCCTGAAATGAATCTGAGCTTGTATGAGGGATGTCGATAGACATTCAAAGTAAACACTCCTTTGTTTGGGTTGTGCTCCAGAGCACAGTCAGCCGCTGCTAATGGATTTTCTCCCAGGCTTAATCCATGCTGCAATTGAACTGATGTTTCTAGAGCCACCGCCATCCATTTTGTTGGATTGGACACATTTTCAGTTTGGCCCCTTTTGTGCCGAGTCCATTTCCGTTCCGTGGTGCGTGCTGCCGGCCTGCTCCCATTCCTGGAGGCAGACGGCGTTCGCGGCGACCTCGGCGCTCCAGCTACAGCCCCCCCCCCCCCCCCCCCCCCCCGGGGGGCCGCGGGTCCGCGGCCCCCCCCCCCCCCCCCCCCCCCCCCCCCCCCCCCCTCCCTTCAGTCTGGAGCGTCTTAGCTCAGAAACCTGCCTCTATTACTCTCCCCCGACCGTTTCCTCGGCGTTGATAAGAGAGACGATCTGTCTGCTTCGGCCTGAATAGCCGAGGAGCTAATCAATACAAAACATTTTCCCGTTCTGCACGAGTTCATTCAACCCGAAGCCGACACCTGTTGGCGGTGCCGGGGCGCCGTGTGCCCCGGGGGTGCGCATGGGGGGCCAAAGCTGCTCCTCGCGCTGGCGTCTGAATCAGTGTGAATATCACTAAAAAGTAGTTATGAGTTATCCAATTAATAAACTCACACAGAGTGGTTTTATTACACACAGAGGGGCACATTTTAAGTATTTACCTCTTTGTGAGAGACGGAACCAAGTCACTCATGTTCAATTCTCAAGTAAGTCCCAAGTAATTTTTTCTTTGGCAAGTCATGTCAAAGTCAAGTCACCTTATTATTGCAATTTTAACCCCAGAATCTGATCTTTTAAAGTGAAGAGACGAGATATAATGAGCTGTCAGTAAACAGCATTGGCCAATGTGTACAACCTGTTTTAAAGATATGATATTTTCTGAACCGCTTATTCCCTAATGGGGTCGCGGGGGGGACTGGAGCCTATCCCAGTGGTCAATGGACGGTCTGCCAGTCCATCGCATTGGCAAAAATGCCTTCATAAAATGATTTGTTGATGGCTTTCGATCCAAACAAGGTCACTTCTGCCAAAAGCGTTTGGTATTTTTGTTAGTCTAAAGCTGTCGTCACTCTCTGCCTGCGCCCCAACCGGTAATCGATATTATTTGTCAAATTAAAACATGAACTGAATAACACTCAAGTCATAAAGTCTCAGGTCAAGTTCCGAGCCTTTAACTTCCAAGTCTGAGTCGAGTCCAAAGTCTTTTATTTTTCGTCAAATCAAGTCACAAGTCATCAAAACATCTCCCCAGCACCATCTCTGCTCTTTCTTCCATTTCATTAGTAGGGCCGGTCGTACATGTGTGTTTTTGGACTTTGGATAGAGAAAGCCCCGGCAACGTTTTCGGAACACGGGACACCCCCTGTGCAGCCAGCTTTGAGCAGTTCTGAAACCAGTAAAAACAGCAGTAACGAGGAGATTTTTCATGAGGAACTGGGATCCTTTTTGCTTTAACGATGGCATCAATAGAGGAGACCCCCCCCCCCCACACACACACACACACACACACACAACCTTACAAGGAATAGGCAATATATATGATGGATGGATGGGTTATTTTTCTCTCATTCTGTTGTTGTTATTTCTGGAGCAACTCAGCATCCCATTGTGGTTACTTTGTGTCTCTGTGTGTTGGTTTTAATCAGGATTTCAAACCCATGCCTCCTCTTTTCTCAAGCACAGCAGATTGTGGAAGGAACCCGAGCCACATGGACTCTGAGCCTTTTGTCTTTTCGTTAATTTCCAATTAGCTGCAAAAATCTCCTTTAACCTAAAAAACTTTATGACATCCTCTCTGGTTCAGGAGGGGCTGGATGCAGACAAACAGCTGCAGCCCAGTCCCGATCAGCCTCTCTGAATCTCCTCACAAAGCTGCGGTTAGGGTCAGGGTTTATTTGTTATTTATTTATCAGGCGTCTTCAGCACCGATGCTTTCCTCCCTCCTTTTAGGCAACTGTCAACTCAGCAGGTTGGGAGACCATTTAAAGGCTCGGGAAACCTTTGCAGGTGTCCTGAGTTAATTAGCTAATTAGAGTATGACTTTATTCAAAATATGCTAATTTTCCGAGGCACTGCATTTTGGCTTTTCATTATCCTGAAGCCCAAATCATCAAAATTATTAGAAAAGATCATTTGAAATGTGTCAATGTGTGAAATTAATGTATAAACTATATAGGTTTAACTTTTTCTTAATGACTTTACTGAAATAGATTAACTATTTGATGATAATTGAATTCGTTCTTGGTCTTTAATTAGATTTTCTGAGATAAATAACCCACAAAGTGTCTTAGATTGATGATATTTTAGAGAACAGAGTGGGGTGTGTTGGTTTAATGTGGATTTAAAAAGTTAAAAATACATTATTTGAGCACATATTGCCGTGAAATCTTTTTTAATTGATCCTTACCTCCTTTTTTTAAATAAGGCCCCATGTGGGTGAAATGAAACTATAAAGGTTCAAAAGGCTCATCTTCTTGAAGGGATCTAAAGATATTGTAATCAGCCACGTAAATTAACTATGAAAAATGAATTAATTTGTCACTTTTATTCCTATTTCTTTGTTAATTTATGACTATGAGCTTTTTAAGCCATAGTTTCCTGCTTTTGGTGTTGATGTATCTTCTATCCATCCATCCATCCATCCATCCATCCATCCATCCATCCATCCATCCTTTTTCTATACTGGGGGGTCGGAGGTTTTCCCAGCTTTGATTGGTGAAATAGACCCAATTTGTTAAATTTGCTTTCAAATTTAACTTTGTGACAAGATATTTATGTGCTAACTCTCTTTTTTCCTCCTTTTTTGAATAATCCACTATGTGTGTTGGGTTTAATTTATTGAATAATGTGTTTTGAGTCCTGCTTTCTATCATTTTAAAGTGGTGACTTAGATCCTGGTTAGCTGGGTTCTACATTGGCTAAGCAAAGTGTTTTTTATTTTCTTACTGAAAAAAAGGTGAAAATGTTTTTATTTATTCAAGGATTTTTCCTTTTGATATTTCTTACTAATGAAATCATGAATGTTAGGCTGTGAACTGTGAACATGTTTTGACATTTGTTACTAGAACAAACTGAGAATTTTGCATACAACTCTCATCCTGTTCTAACAGTAACTGCTATATCCACCCTTTTCGCTCTCCCAATCATTCAACTTGATTTATTCTACTCCATATCAGCACCTTAACGAGAAATTATTGGGGACATTTTTGGATCTTTGTTGCATGATGCACTAGAGTTCACTTTAGTGGCCTAAAAAACCCAAATATACACAAGAAAATCCAATATAGAAGCCGCTATGCATGGAAGGGATATTTGTTCATTTTTCCCAGTTGTTAAGAAAGAGAGTGTTTATTTGATGGAAAAAGACAGCACATTGTCACTGATCTGTCCTCTTTTGCCTGTATTTAGTCACTGATCTGTTTACTTTTGTATTCCGTCTGGGTGTTGCAGGGCAGCGGAGGTCGACGCCATCATGGCGAGCCTTCAGAAAGCAAACCAGGTGAGTTGGGGTCTCGCCGTGCATTTCTCTGATTTGGAAGCTCCTCCGTTAAGGTAATCACTCCTGTAATCAAGCTTTGGCTCTAATTAGACACCCTGTCCCCGTCCGCCCACCCCCCTTCCTCCCCCCCTCTGTTCTGCCTCCCCACCTCCCCTGAGCGGGTGATTAGTGAGTGTAAACTGGAGCCCCCGTTGGTGGGCGCTCTGCGGCCGCACGGCTCCACTCAGCAGAGAATAAGGGAGACTACCGAGCGCGATTGAACTCCGCGGCTCTTAGTTATCTCAGTGCCTTGATTGCTTCCTGTCCCGGTGATACTTCTTCTGCTTATTTTCTCCCTCCCGCACGCTTTTTTTTTTCTGACTCTGCTGCTCCCTGCCAGCAGCCACCAGATAAATGTTCCCAAAATGAATCATTAATTAGCAGGCCGGGTGTGACAGAGCAGGTAAACAGTTTGGGGAGTAAAGTGGGCCGACTAAACAGCCCCCTCAGCAGAACGAACCAGTGGCTGCACTCGTCTGCTCCGGTTTTTTCACATTCCCAGAATTCTGAACGAGGGGCGCCTCCTTTGATTTATGTGCGCGCTCTCACCTTTATCATCTCATTAGCCGATTGACGTGGCGGCCGCCTGAACGCTGTGATGCCGTTTCTGTGTGCAGAGGGCCGAAGTGGCTCAGAGGGAAGTGGAGAGGCTAAAGGAGCAGCTGGCCAGCGCCGCCACAGGAAGCCGCCATCCAGCAGAGGGCACGAGCATGGTAGGGGAAAATGTGCGACCCCCCCTCTGCTCCGATGACCACGTCCAGCCCTCAGAGCTGCGTGACGCCGTGCAGGGGAACGCGTTCCACTTCTTTTTCAACCACTTTTATCGACAGCTGGAGCTCCAGGGTGTTTCAGAGCATTTACAGTACAAACGGCCAACAGACTCACTTAACGGTGTTTTACCCGTTTAACGCCTACGTCCAGCTTACATGTCGATTTCATGCTCCTCCACCCATGAAGAGCTGCTGATGCAGCTTTAACCCACAGAAGAATGATATGACTTACGTAGGTTGCTGTCTGAATGTCTTTGGTGACTTTAACCCTTCTGTGCATGAATTATGATCATTTTATTCAAACATGTTTTAATTTTTAATTATAAAAAAAAATGAAAAGTTTTTTTTTGTCAAAATGTGTTCACTCAAGGATGTTTCCTTTTAATATTTCTTACTAATGAAATACTGAATGTTACACTGTGAACATGTTTTGACATTTGTTAGCAGAACGCACAAACACATACAACTCTCATCCTGTTCTGATATACACTGCTGTATCCTCCCTTTTCTCAATCCCGCTCATTCAAATTGATTTATTTTAGTCTATTTCAGCACATTCTTTAACAGGAATTCATTGTGGATTTTTTATTTTATTTTCATTGCATGATGCACCAGTGTCCACTTCAGTTTTATGTGCATTTAAAACATAAAAACCCAAATATACATAATAAAATACCTTGTAAACAGCTGCCCACTGTAGAGGCTGCTATGCATGAAAGGGTTAAACTGCATCTGCTGCTTGTTTTCTCAGTAGAAAACCGAAATTAAGCCTGGGACATGCTTTTTTAATCTTCTGTTACCTCTGAAGGATTTAGCAGAGCTCGGTCTAATTCAGCCCTTTTATTTCTTCCTCTCTGTTTATCAAAACAAGGCCAAACATCAGACTAAGCATAAAAAGAGAGGAAACTGAGCCTCAGCTGAAACAAGCTGATGTCATCATGTCATGAAAGAGAGAGAGATATCTGAATGTTTTCATTATCGTGGAAATGTCATGTGTTACCTTGCTTTGTCCCCTTTAAACCTTTTATACCGTCTGGCAGGAGAAGAACGAGAAGTGCGAGGCGGCGCCCTCCCACCTGGAGGCCGCTTTATTGGCTAAAGACAGAGAAATCCTCCGACTTCTCGAAAACATTCAGCGGCTGCAGTTCACCCTGCAGGAAGTTCAGGAAACCTCAGCCAATCAGATCCTGGAGCTGGAGCGCCAGCTGGCCTATAAGACGGAGGCCATCGAGGTGAGCGGCTCCGACACTCTACAGCGCTTAGCAGATTTATCCGACCACCTGTTAGAAAAACAAGGAGCTCCCTCTGCTCTGGATTAAACTTTTCTGTGATCAGTATTTGAATCTCCTGAGTCCCACGTGGACTTTGTCTTGGCTCCTCCATCAGCTCCAGTCCTCCAGGTGTTGGTGGATGTCTGCAGGCCTCAGTAACGGCTTCCTAGCAGTTATTAGTCAATTTCTGTAATTGTGGAGATTATTAAATCAATCAGATCCGGGGAGTGGAGAGTTGATTTTGTTTTAAAGCGCTTCATTTTTTCGGCTGCTTTTTTTGGTCTGAAAATGTTATCTCCCGTTTCTCTTTGGCTGCCTCCCACCGTCCAAAAACATGCATTAACATGCAAGTTGATTGAACACTCTAAATTGGAGTGGATGTGAGTGTGTGTGGGTGTTCGTCTCTGTGTGGCCTGTCCAGGTTTTACCCTGCCTCTTGCCAAATGTCAGCTGGGATAGGCTCCAGCCCCCCCGCACCAGGAATAAGCTGTGTATATAATGGATGGATGGGTTATTTTGAATCTTTCCTGTGTTGTTTTGTGCATTTCTGGAGTGACTCAGCCTCTCTTTTTGTTTTTTTTATGTCTCTTTGTGTTGGTTTTAATCAGGATTTCAAACCCAGTTCCTCCTGTCCCTCCGAAACTTCAAGTCAGAAAAGTTTCAAGATGAACATTCAACCACTAAAGCTCTCTTTTCTATTCAGGATGACAGGAAATAAATAGAATCTGGCATCTTAATCAGAAAAAATGATGTTCTTTACTATTTTTTCTCTTTTTTTTGTAAAACTGAATATTTGAAAATGCGTCTATAACAATAATAATTCTATGTCAGTATTAAAAGATGGGCTTCAGAGCTTCAACAGACTGGAGTTTTAACCATTACAAGAACACACAGAGTTACTCTGCTGCTCATTTATGGCTCGAACTTCACATTCTGGGGGTGGTCTGATACATCTGTTTAGCTTTGTAAATTCTATACAAAGATACCGGTCACATGCTAACACAAAGTCTTCTGTTTTTCACATCAGAGATTAGAGGCTAAACTGCAATCCCAGATGGACTACGAGGAGATTAAAACTGAACTCAGGTGAAAACTGGTTTAATTTCTCTATCGGTGAATCACCATGTTTGCAAAGCTCAAAATGTGTGATGCCGCTTGTCTCTGTTTGTAGTATCCTAAAGGTCATGAAGCTGGCTTCTGCAAATGGAAACTCCTCCCAGGTATAAACGCTGCTCCTTTATTTTCCTTTTTTTTTAAGAAAAGCAGTCACTTTCCACCAAAGTAGACCTTTGGTTTTTTCATCTTCTGTTTGTGTTAGGAAGGAAAACCCTAAAAAACTTCAGTTTCACTCATTTATCACCCATTGGAAGGATATCGGCAGCATGTGTAACTGATTAATAGGAAATTAACCATTTTTGTGTGTTTGTGTGCTCGTTTCTATAGGATTCCACTAAGGCTGCAGATGCTCTTTTGCTGGATAAAGAAGCATTCTTTCCGTCTCACAAGTACTTAGTGGATAAGACCCGAATATTGCACAGCAATGGTAAAATAAGTGTCTCAAGTTTCTGCTACTCACTCCTTTAATCAGTCTAGTGCAGAGGGCTGTGGCTTTTCAGAGGCAGTGAGTTTTGTCACCTTCTGAAAAGTCCCCATACTTCACTGATTGCTTGGCACTTAGCGGTTCGACTCAGTCAATTCTGTAGTCGATGTATTTATTTTTTTCCCCCCAGACTTAAATCTCCGAGTATAAATTGAGCATGCAATGCGCTGCGTGGACTTGCAAGGCAGACAAACAAGTCTCTTAACTGATGGAGTATTTTTTTATTTGTGGATGTCAGAAAACGATCCGTGTGACTGAGTGAATAAATGTGTTTTCCCCTCAGATGATGATCACTGTGAGGAGGCAGGACGGGAAAAGGGCCGGCCGCCTGGCTCTCAGTCGTCTTCCTCTCAGGCGGACAGTCGTGCCTCCCCCAGCCCGGGCCCCCCCACCCTGGACGGCTCCTCCTCCGGCCACGATCTCCCCCGTCCCTTCTCGGCGTCGCCGTGCTCGGCCGACCGGCTGTCGGGGGACCACGTCCTGCACAAGCAGCTCCTCTCCCCACACTTTAAAAAGGAGGGCCTGGTGGCTTTCCCCTCCACCCTCTATGCGGCCAAAGTTGCACTCATGTCTGCGTCTCAGGGGCCGGCGGACGCCGGCCTGCCCAGCGACCAGTCGGAGAGCGGCAGCTCCACGGCAGGCGACGACGACCAGCTGGACACGGCGGAGATCGCCTTCCAGGTGAAGGAGCAGCTGCTCAAGCACAACATCGGCCAGCGGGTGTTCGGCCACTATGTGCTGGGCCTCTCCCAGGGCTCGGTCAGCGAGATCCTGGCCAGACCCAAACCCTGGAGGAAGCTCACTGTGAAGGGCAAGGAGCCTTTCATCAAAATGAAGCAGTTCCTCTCAGATGAGCAGAACATCCTGGCTCTGAGGACCATCCAGGTCCGACAAAGAGGTGAGTGACTCTGAGGGATTTGGGGGGGGGGTCGTTCGCCACAATACAATGTTTACAGGCTGCCATTAAATGCTGAGAGTGCACTCAAAGAAACCGAAATGAGCTCGAATAAAAGTGTTTAAAGGCTTCGGAGACTGTGGAGCCACAGGTTTTTGCCCCGGACCTTTTTTATTTTTAAGGTTTAAACCTTTTAATCTACTTGGACCACATCCTTGGCGTCTTTACAGCTTCCTCTGCCATGTTTATGGTGTTACTTTTAAACTTTGTTTTCTCCCCAGATTCGCAGCTTTTTGAAAGTCGAGCTTCCCGTATACTGCAACCTCAGACAGCACGCGCTCAAAGGCAGCCATTGATCTAACAGTCAAAAGCAAAGCCTTGGAACTGCTCTCTGATCAGCCATCCCACTCACCCCCTCCCTCTCTCTGCCTCTTACCCTCTGTGGCAGGGAGCATCACTCCACGCATCCGAACTCCTGAAACTGGGTCAGACGACGCCATTAGGAGCATCCTGGAGCAGGCCAAGAAGGAGATCCAGTCACAGAGGGGAGGTGAGCGTGAAGCCGTGCGTCAAAGGCCACGGCTGGAAGCCATATTGATTTACTCTTTCTTATTGGCAGCTCCTAGCATCAGATTGTAGCCCTGCTCTGATGCATGTGAGGTGCATCGGTGTCAGAAAGCGTCTCTTTTCTCCTCTAGGTGAGGGCAAGTCGTCTCTGAGCAGCTCGTCTGGCAGAAGCAGCAACGGAGGCAGCGGCGGCTCCGATGAGACCATCAAGAACATCCTGGAACAGGCCAGGCGGGAGATGGAGGCTCAGCAGCAGGCGCTTTTGGAGATGGAGGCCTGTGGACGGGCCTCCAGCGCGGGCTCGGGGCCCCAGGTGGAGCGCCTGGGGCCGCCCGATCGCAGCCGGGCTCTGTCCCTGCCGGTGTCCATCAAGCAGGAGGAGGGCGGCTGCGTCACCGTGTGCATGGCCAGCTCCATCAGCAGCCCCCAGACGCCCCTCAGCGTCCTCTCCCCGGCCGCCTTCGTGCAGAACATCATTCGCAAAGTCAAGTCGGAGATAGGCGAGGCCGGCACCTACTTCGACCAGCATTGGTCTCAGGAGCGGGGATCCATGGTGCTTGGCATCGGGGGGGGCTCTCGGCCCTTCAGCTCGGTGTCCCCCTCCCTTTCGTCCTCCTCCTCTGGGCCGTCCGCCCTCAGCCGGCCCTGGCCCCGTCTGGAGAACGGCGACGGCCTGTCCAACAGCGAGGAGGCCTCGGCGGGGGAGGAGGAGCCGGGCCTGGGCCGGCCCCTGGAGGTGAAGGTGGAGTCGGATGCTTCGGTGAGCGGCGGGTCGCCGGGACCGGCTCCGGGGCGGCTGTCGTACTACCCGGCCTACATCCCCCGGGCTCTGAAGCCCACCGTGCCCCCGCTGACGCCTGAGCAGTACGAGATGTACATGTATCGGGAGGTGGACACCATCGAGCTGACCCGGCAGGTGAAGGAGAAGCTGGCAAAGAACGGCATCTGCCAGAGGATCTTCGGAGAAAAGGTCAGCGGTGGCTTTATTCCGCCTTCAAACCGTGCAAAAGGCTTTTAATCCGTTTTAGGTTTGAAATCACATCATTTTTGACACATATACTTTATGGGAAAAACCCCAAACTCTCTTGTGCACAGAAACACCAGCGGGAATGAGACCGCACTACAATCATTTTGACTAATTAAAAACAAAAAATAAAAAGGGCTTTTTTTATGCTAATGGCCAAATTACGACCTCAGGCTAAAATATTTGAATTTTCTCTCTATTTTGTCTCGGATCAGGGTTTAAAGGGTTATTAAGGAATTAGAAAAAGTATCGCATGTTAGTGATCTTAAAATTAAACATGTAAATCAGTTTAAATAAGACATAAAGCAGGAGATGAATTGAAGGAATCATTTTACAGTCTGTGCTGCTCCTTTATGGTTCGATTTGTAACAGACTGTTTGAAGGTGTCCAATCAAAAAACGTAAATGAAATATCTCACTTTATTTAAATTAAATCTAAAACAGTAACATTAAGGATCATTGGATTCAAGAATAATGCCTGTTTAAAAGCCAGTTTGCCAAAACAGAACTAGACTTTTCCCATCTTTCAACAACAGGTTTGACTGATAAGCAGCTCGAAGCCACGGTGATACGAACCAAACATTAAAGACTATCGAAAACTTGATTTTAAAGGCTGTAAAGACTACAGAAAGACATCCTGAAAATGGATAAGATTGAGTTTGTCGATTCAGCTGAGTTATTTTTATTCATGTACCACCAAATCACAACAAATATCATATCTCTACACTTCAAAGATCAAATTTTAAAAATGTAGGATCCACTTCAGTGTAATGTAATCATAATACAGTCAATTAAAGTTAATTAGATTCCAAATTGGTCCATTTTACTAAGAGCTAATTAAAAAAAAAATGTTACAAATATAACAAACCCCCCAGGACAAGAACTTCTCTTTGATCCGATCCCTGTCCTGTGCTGCACGAGGCGTTAGTGGGAAGGAAAAACTGCCTTTTAACAGGAGGCAACCTCTATCAGAACCATCTTTCTTGACCGGCTGGGGGCTGAGTGGACAGGAAAGAGGGTCCAACTAGCATTATGACACCAGGCCAGAGATACAATGATGTCACATGGAGAGGAAAGAGAGCAGAGGGTGGAGAGGTGCATCATGGGAACCCCCTATTAGAACTCATTCTGCTTGAAAAACTCAGGAACCAGATGTAGAGCTGCAGTCTGAGAGCTAGGAGCTCTGCTGGGAAACATCCTGCTGTGATGGAGCTGCTCACTCAGTTTAGATTAAAAAGTTACTAATTTAAAACCACAACCAGATTTTCCCATGATGATTTCCAATCAAGCCACAGTGTGTGGGAAATAAAAGCCCTCCATAAAACAGATCTCATTGAGTTTTATGATCAAGTTCACAGGAGCTCGCTTCCATTCCCTTAAAAGAAAGATTTGATTAGAATTGCTTTGACTTAATAAGTAAGCAGCTGTAACTATCCAAAACCAACTAATTGACCCAGAATACATGAAAATTGGCCCAGTATTGAATCTGTCATAAAGGTTCTATTACTGGTCACCTTGATACAATTAAAATGAGTAATTGATCTTCTAAACTCTTTGTTGCTGCTTGTTTTGAGATTTAAAGCATCTGTTCAGATAATTCAGATCTTTTTTGTGACAAGTACAAGTTTCACTGTGGTTAAGAAATAGATAAATTAGTGTCTAACATTAGTTATTCTTGTTTACTGTCAATCCAAGCTGCTTCAGAGTATTTATTTTCCTCTCCTGCTGTCTGTGGGTTTAAGCATTAGAGTTAGATTACATCTTAAAACATGAACTTCAATTATTTCCACCCAAAGATTAAGAATGAAGTCTTCCTTAAAACTAAAAAATTCACAGTGCTTTTCTTTCTTCCATGTCTGGGCTAATTTTTTTAATCATTCATATCAAAACTCCCTTTATATACTTAAACAAATCCAACTTCCCGTATTTTCTCGGCCATCCATAATGTTTGACTGTCTGAATCTTTTTCGGTTGCATGTTTTCCCACGGAAAAACTGCAATAAGTCCTAAAGAAGCTGTTAAAAGCCATCCTTTCTGTTCAGCATTGTCCAAAAACGCTTCAGGTGCTTTTCCGGCTCCGCAGTGATCTCCTTCTCAGAGACCTCTTCCTTTTAAATCTCTCCCATTACCTCTGTTTTTAGCTGAGGGGCCAACGTTTGGATGGCTCCTCATTTAATTTCTCAAAGAACCCCAAAGCAGTGTTTTACTCATTTTTGTAGTGTTTTTTAAATGTATTTTTAACTGTGCTGGAGTGGGGTTAGACGTCTATCCAAATGGATGGATATACAATCAAAGTTAAACCTTTCCACAACTGAATGATTAAAAATGTGGCTGCTTATTCAAGTGGTCTTTGGGAAGAAAAATGTATTATCAAATGTGTGATTCTTAAAGCAAATGATACATTTGATAAATCACATGAATCAAAGGCATATCTTTTTCCCATTTTCCTGATTGGAGCATCTCTTTACAAGCTGAATGGCCCATTCACTCTAATGCCCCCAAATCACTCTTATATGTCCTCTCTAAAATGGATTAAATAAATCTGAAAAAAATGTAACTAAGTGGATTTGACATTGATATTTATTCATTCATTGAGGCTTTTCAATTACATATTAACCTATGAGATCCAAGACCCACTTTTGTACAAGGGAAATTATAAGGAGTATAAAAAAACGTCCAAATTAACCGGATACATCACATGAAAAGATATAAATTCACAGGTACTTCTTCAAAATATCAAAATTCTATTATTTCCATTGGTTCCTTTTGTTATTCTTAACCTATTTTAGGGTTGAATATGTAAATCTGGGTTTTTTGGTTAAAAATGGTTATTAAACTCTAATAATTCCATCTTAAATTAACATTTTCAACTGTCTTCATCAATAGTCTGCAGTCTCCCTCTAGTGGCCATTTTGTGAAGGTGCACAGCTCAGATTTTTGCTATGAGTGTTTTCTCATTATCATTAAATATAAATTAAATACAAATGATTTCTTAAGCTTGTTGCTGTTGTCGTGGTGTTTGTGGGGCGCAGGTGCTCGGGCTTTCTCAGGGCAGCGTGAGCGACATGCTGTCTCGGCCCAAACCCTGGAGCAAGCTGACTCAGAAAGGCAGGGAGCCCTTCATCCGCATGCAGCTGTGGCTGCTGGATCAGCTGGGCCAGAGCCTCAGCCAGCCACCCAACCAGGGCCCCACTCAGGGTGAGGCCCCACTCACTGCCAAAGACCACACAGGCTTTAGATGTCTCCTGAAGAGTGGGATAAGAGTTGTATCCTGGTTTTAAACTCTGTTTTTATTCATTTTTTATTCCCAGAGAAAAGCCCGGTGACAGCCCAGTCCTCACCCTCCCCACCTCCCAGCCCATCAGAGAGTCACCCCAGTCCGCTGGCTGAGCCCGTCAGTCTCTCCCTGGAGAGCAGCAAAGAGAACCAGCAGCCTGAGAGCCTCAGCTTGGGGTTGCCCCCCCATCCAGAGGGAGGGAAATCCACTCCCAGCCTCACGGCCCTGCACCAGCCCTCGAACCCGATGGGGATCCAGGAGCTGGTAGCGATGTCTCAAGAGCTGGACACCTACGCCATCACCAAGAAGGTCAAGGAGGTGCTAACAGATAACAACTTAGGTGGGTCTGCGCTCTCCCGTTCCCCCCGTCTAGGACCAGCAACAGCCCCACCCACGCTGTGTGTGTTTTTCCTGCCGCAGGCCAGCGTCTGTTCGGCGAGACCATCCTGGGTCTGACGCAGGGCTCGGTGTCCGACCTGCTGTCCAGGCCCAAGCCGTGGCACAAACTCAGCCTGAAGGGCAGGGAGCCGTTTGTCCGCATGCAGCTCTGGCTCAACGACCCCCACAACGTGGACAAGCTGAGGGCCATGAAGAAGATGGAGAAGAAAGGTGGGAAGAGACAGAAACGTGCTCTGCGCTGACCTATAACTGCGCTTCCTGTTCAAACATTAAATGCCCGTATTGAACTGAGTGTTTCTTTTTAATTCCAAACTTTTTATGAACCATCTTGGTGTCAAATTGAAGCTGAAACGTCTGATAATTCATCACATGCAGAAGCATCAGAGCAGCTGCCACCATGTCAAAGTAACTGAGGGTAAAAAGAGCATCAAATGGCAGTCAAAATATGCTGCATTGGACCAAAACCTTAAAAAATAATCATAGATCAAGCGACTTTCAACCTTTTTTCTAGACGCTTTTGTATGAAATGTTTATATGAGCTTTCGACTCAGGTTCCGATGTTTCTGTGGATACCAAATAGGTCTAAATGACAGAAACGAGCATAAAATTGAGCATAAATGAAGTGACTTTTAACTTTTTCTCTAGATGCTTTTGTTTAAAATGTTTATATGAGCTTTCGATTCAGATTCCAATGTTTCTGTGGATACCAAATACGTCTAAATGTAAAATCCACGGTTCCTCTTCCTTCCTGCTCCTGGTATTAAGGGCTCTGGAGCTCAGAAGTTACCCACTCCCATCAGGCTACATATCCAGAATGATTTCACACTCAGATCAGAAGATATAAACCCCCAGCGAATGGGATTTTACATGGAAAAATGTCAAAATGTTAGAAATAACTGTCTAGAAAATCCAATACTCTGCATCTTTGAGGTGGTTTCAGAGGCTGTTGGTGACCATGTTTAACGACTTCTCTGCCTTACAGCCTACCTGAAGAGGCGCTACGGGCTGCTCAGCACCGGCTCCGACAGCGACTCGCCCAGCACGCGCTCCGACTGCGTGAGTCCGGCCTTGGCCTCGCTGGACCTGTGCCCCTTCAGCCAGGTGAAGAAGCCGCGGGTGGTGCTGGGGGCCGAGGAGAAGGAGGCCCTGAGGAGAGCCTACCTGCTGGAGCCCTACCCCTCTCAGAGCACCATTGAGACGCTGGCGTCGCAGCTCCACCTCCGGACCAACACCGTCATCAACTGGTTCCACAACTACAGGCCAGTCCACGGCTCCGCCTGCTGGGAGGTGGCGTTGCAGGCGGCTGTCTGACAGTGTGTTTGTGTGTGTGTGTGTGTGTGCAGGTCCAGGATGCGGCGGGAGGTGCTGATGGAGGGCCTGCCCGACAACGACACGGACGCCGAGCAGCACGGCTACTCCCCCCCGGCCACGCGCAGCCCCCGCTCCGACGGCGAGGAGCGCAGGCTGCCGCCGCCCTCAGGACACGCCCACTCCGGCCACACCCACTCTGGCCACGCCCACTCCGGCCTTTCCCCCGGCGCCGCGCCGCCTCGTGTCAAACAGGAGGCGGCGGACAGGGACGATGACGAGGAGGGCTCCGGGAGGCCGTCCAGGGGGCCGTGCTGCCCGGCGACGACAGCGTTCCCGGGCGAGCACAAGCACTCGCCGCGCCTGCCCGGCCAGAGCCCGAGGCAGGAGGAGGGGGCGAGCGGCCAGCCGCCGGGGCTCTACCCCGCCGCCGTGTCCCTGGACGGCTCCCAGCGAGCCAACCAGTCCAGGCACGACGGCGAGGAGTCGGGGAAGTCGCCCGTGGACCCGGTCAGCTTCAAGGCCTCGTCGGAGCCCTGCCGCAGCAGCCTGGAGGTGTCCCTCAACTCGCCCTCCGCCGCCTCCTCCCCCGGCCTCATGATGTCCGTCTCCCCCGTCCCCTCCTCCTCGGCCCCCATATCCCCCTCGCTGCCCAACCCCCCGTCGGCGAGCACCAATCACAGCCTGGACGCCAACCCGCCGCCCCTCTTCCAAAGCCCCAAAGTCAACCGAAGCACTCAGAGACGCAACGAGAAAATGGCCAACCTCAACAACATCATCCACAGGCTGGAGAGGGCGGCGAACCGGGAAGAAACTCTGGAGTGGGAGTTTTGAGTCTGGCTGCCGCTTCCTGCAGCCTGGAGAGGAGCCTGGCTCCAGAAGGCCTGCCCCCCCCCCCCCCCCCCCCCCCCCCCCCTCCCCCACTATAAGACTGACACCGCCGAGCTCAGCAGAAACACTGAACTCCCCCCCCACAGGAACTTAACAGTTGAAAAAAAGTTTATAAAGGTGTATTTGTTTATTTTTGTTTTGTTTGTTCCTTTTTTTTTTCTTTTTGATAATGCATACCACTTTGAAATATACATGACAGCGCTAGCTGTCGTTTTACTTACAGGACTCAACATGAAGACTTTTGCAGCTATGGTGTCATAAAATGTGCACCGAAGTTCTGTAGATTGCCACTGGGTGAGATTAAAAAAAAAAAAAAAGGCCGCTGTCTTAAGCCATTAAAAGCACTATAACTATTTGAAAAGAGACATTGACCAAATTTGCTACTTTTTGCATAGCAATTTTTCAAATTTTGTCTGTGAGACTGGACAGTTTAAGTCAAGTAACATGAAATCCTAACACTGACTGAGGGATAGTCCTTTAAAGACTCTAAATATTCAACATCTTGTATGTACTTAGTTTCTTGGTGACATGTTTTGAAATCTTTGTATCTCACGCGTATAAAAATGTGGTTGTTCATGTAGAATTGTCTGCAATAGCCTCCTCTAAACCCGATGTAGCATGGTACTCACCTGACCCTGTTATCTACTGTAGTTAGTCACCTGTGATTATTCTTGAGCTGAAACAAAAAGAAAATAGTTGAAAACCTGGCAAAAAAAAAAGTAAAAAAAAAAAAAAAAAGAAGGTCATTTTAAAACCTAATACAGGAAAACTTTAAGTGTTTTTTTTTTCTGTTTTGGGGCTTTTTTTGGGATAATTCTTGAGGTTTACAGATTAGGGCCCTCGTGCTTTCGGGATTAAGTGGCACCTTCACTTCGCCTCGGGCACAGTTTACACGATTTCTTTCAGACTTACCTCTCTGACCATCTCAGACTGAAACGGGCCAAGACGCAGAACACCTGGTTTACCTCAGATTATGTTGCTGCACATCACGCTCCTCATCCTCACCCATAATCGCGACTCGGTTATTTTATTCCAGCAATCACGCCGCAGATTTGGGCTCGTTCCAATCAAGATCAAACGCAAAGCAAGGTGGAAAGTCTGTTCTTCAGGAATTATATCAAAGATCTTAACGATCTGGTTAACCCGTGTGTGTGTATGTATTTGAATCCTGCCCAGAAGCTATTTTGAATTTGGCTCTTTTGCTTTGGAAAAACCCTGAAAAATGGTTTGACTGGACCTCAGAGGTGTTTAGCGTTGATCTGCTTTGGGACTAAAGCTCAAATCTATTTGAAAGCATGACACTTTTGATATGAGCGCTCATCAAAGGGAAAACATTCACTCCATAAAAACACTATAATCAAGAACACCCCCCCCCATGTTATCTTTGACCGCTTGTGTATTGTGTCTGTAGACGTTTCTTTGTCATGCTTGCGAGATATTCTTTATGTGTTTTGCCTCTATTTTATACTCGGAACAGTAAACTAGATATTCAATACCTCGTGTATGAAGTACTTACAGCACTTAGATTTTGATAATTAATTGTGAGGACTCAAGAAAATTTCAAATATCAACATTATCCTAACTTAGTGTCCACAAGTCTTTGCCTTTACTGTATTGTTGAAGTTGGTAGTAAACACTTGCACATGTCTACATAGTTCAGAGGACTTGGATTGTATTATGTAGAAATATATATAACACAATTATTGAAAAAAAAAATAATATCTTACATTCTTGGGACAAAATGTGCTGATTATATTGAAATAGAGTGTACAGATTTAATAAACCAAACCCATTCAAGCCAGTTGTGGTCTGGCAAGCTTGCCCACGTTTTAGACCTTCTCTCAGGGTAGTCTTGCTTTTTAAAGCTTTATTGAAACAGCTGTTCTCATCAGTGGCAGTGAGTACGATCAACATATGGTGTAAAGAATGAGTCTGTTAGACTGTATATTAAATTATCGCACAGACCTTGTGTGAACATGGGAACTTTGGTGGTTTGTTGGAGGGTTGTTGCAGCTTTGTAATTCATCATACAGACGTGTCAAAGTACAGTCGACTTTGGAATTACCAGGAAGAGGCTGATGGGTTGATTTTCTTTCTTTCTTTCTTTCTTTCTTTCTTTCTTTCTTTCTTTCTTT